TTCTGCTTAGTTTGCTACCTTTACAACAGGCACCAAAGTAAATTCCAGATGCACTAAACATTTAACCATAAAAATGAAACTATGAGCCAGGCAAGGTGGTGCACGACTTTAATCCCAGAGGCTCAGGAGGCTGAGGTAGGAGGATGATGAGTTCAAAGCAAGCTTAGCAAGTGAGACTTAGTGAGCCCCTGTCTCTAAATGAAATACAAAATAGGGCTAGGGATGTGGCTTAATGGTCAAGTGCCCCTGAGTTCAATCCCTGGTACTGCCCCCCTCAAAAAAAATGGAATTATGAAAGTATTACAAGAAAAACATAGGAGATATTTTTACAATCTTAGAATAGATAGGTACATATGTGCATTGATACATAAATACGTAGACTTCAGAAGCTTTAAACCCAGGGACTCAAATATAAATGTGCAATTAAACAAATCAGAAAAGTTGAAAAGATTAGAAAATGAACTTTTATATATAATTGTAATGCACTACTTCAAAATAATAATAATAGAAGAGAAACCATTAGAGTAGAATAATGTGGCTGGGAGGGAGGAGTAGGTAGGGAAAGAGGACGTGCTGGGGAATGAGAGTGATCAACTTATGTGCATGTATTAATATGTCACAATGAATCCCACTGTTGTGTATAATCATAATGCACCAATAAAAAAAACATTAGGAAAAGAAAGTCAACTTTAGACTAAATAGAGCCAGGAGCCTTAAAGTCCAGTCATCTGGTTCCTTTAGCACTGATTGGCACCTGAGAGCAAATCCAGAAATGATTTCTTGTGGAAGCCTGAGTCCTCCTGTTTCCTTGGCAACTCCTACATGGAACTACACACCCAACCTAGAATTTCAAGTTTTCTTCCCATTGGTAGTAAGACAAGAGAGAGAAAGAAAGAGAGAGAGATTAATGGAGAATTATGTTTTACACACACACACACACACACACACACACACATACACTCACTCCATAGAATCTACTTAACTGAAGCTTGAGGATCTTTGCATCAAAAATTTCAAAGCAAAAAATAAAAGCCCTGAAAACTTATCATCCCCATTTTACAGATGGAAAAATGGAAAGGCACTCAAAGCAGTTCTACCCTTCACTTTGTAAAGGTGAGTGATGATGGCTTTGTTTTTTTTAAATTTATATATGACAGCAGAATGCATTACAATTCTTATTACACATATAGAGCACATTTTTTCATATCTCTGGTTGTATACTTAGTATATTCACATCAATTCATGTCTTCATACATATACTTTGGATAGTAATGATCATCACATTCCACCATCATTAATTACCCCATGCCCCCTCCCTTCTCCTCCTACCCCTCTGCCCTATCTAGAGTTCGTCTATTCCTCCCATGCTCCCCCTCCCTACCCCACTATGGTGATGATGGCTTTCCAGATCGATAGAACGAAACACACAAGGGGTTGTCCATCAACTGGGTTCTGCATGCAGAATTTCATTCAGGCAGTTGACTCTGTTCATGGGCAACCTGAAGTTGAGTGGAGCTAAACCCCCACTGTATTTTCCTACTCCTAGAATTTATCTGACTTCCACCAGTGACCCCAAGTTGGAGAATGAAGAGATCCCTAAACACCTATGTTCCTAAGGGTGGAAGGGTGAACTAGACAAGGTACCTGAACTCAAGATGCTCCATTAGGTGGAGGACAAACACTTAGGTAGGGTTATTATAGGACAATGAAGTGCCACACAGTGTGATCGAGCATCGAAACATAGTTCTCTAGTCTGAGCTTTGGACCCTTTGGCATTTCCCCTTTCCCCTTCCTTCCTTGCTCCAGCCTCTAGTAACCACCTTTCTGCTCTCTGTTTCTAAGAGATAACTTTTTAGATTTTGCTAGTGAGTGACTACAGTTTATAATCAACTATTATTATTGTTGTTGTTGTTTTGTATTTTCTTATCAATCTGTATTTTTTTTTGCAAGTTCTGGATTTGAGCTTTCTCCATATTGATGCATCTAAGTGACTCCTTTCCCATTTAATCCCCATGAGGTAATTGATAAAGATTGGGTATCATTAATGGTTGGCCATTGTGAAGAGTCAAGGAGTGGATGCACCCTTATGTGTGTCTCCCTGTATACACGTTAATGTTTTCAAAAGTAAACACCCATAAGTGGAATTAATAGGTGTGATGGAACCCCAAATGTGAGCCCCAAATCAATGTTGAAATCCTAATCTCCCCAATATGTAGCTGGTATTTGGAAAGTGGCCCTTTGAGAGATAATTAAGTTAAATGAAGCCCTTATGTTATGGCGAGATTGCAGTAAATCACGGAGTCGATCTTAAAGCAGGAGTCGGAACCATCCACCAGCTGGCAGGAGGCTGCATGCAGGTTTACACCCTTCAACCCCCTCCCAGGGGGTTGAGGTACACCTTTTATAGTCCAAAACCATATTAATCATAAGTGGCTGTTGCCATGATTCAAAATCATAACCAAACGTCATGAAATCTAAAAACATAAGCAGAAGGGGGAGTGGGTCAAAACATCCCTAATTGAGTACAAGTTAAAGAATGGTTACTAATGTCTGGATAATCAATCTCTGACAGGTACATTGTTCAAGAAAAATGAGAACCAAAAAGAGAACAATTTTATATTGTATAAGAATTGCCATTTTGTGTCACCAAACAAGCTATGCTAAGCAACTGTTGATGGGCACAGAGGTGGGGTGTTCCCATGGGAGAAGCATTTCTTACATGATGTGGAGTCTCAGGGTAAAAGGGACTCTGTTTGGTCTTTGCCCATGTACCCTGGCCCATAACACTTAGGGTGGGGGTCCTCATGATAGAATCAGTGCCCTTATAAAAAGAGATCAATGAATGTTCCCTTTCTCTCTCTCTCTCTCTCTCTCTCTCTCTCTCTCTCTCTCTCTCTCTCTCTCTCCCTCCCCCCTTTCTCCCTCCCTCACTCTCTCCCTCTCTCTCTCTCTCTCTCTCTCTCTCTCTCTCTCTCTCTCCCTTCCCTTCCCCTTCCCCCATCTCTCCACTATGTGAAAATACTGCAAAAAGGTATCTGTCTGCAATCCAGAAAGACAGCCCTCACCAGAATCCAACTATGCTGACACATTGGTCTGATCTCAGACATCTCAATCTCCAGAACTGTGAAAAATAAATGTTTGTTGCTTAAGCCACTGGGCTTATGGCAATTTTCTATAGAAACTCAGGCAGGCTAAGAAACTAGGGAATGCACAGTTATAGAAAATGTCCCAATTTACATTCCACAAGCGTGGACCTCACCAACATGTGGTATCAGTATCCTCAAACTTTTTCATCCAAGCTGTGCTTTGTAGAAAGATTTTCATCATCTTCACCAGAAAGGGATGTCCCAAACTTCTAACCTCTCTTTTTAAATTAGAGCTTAATAATTATCCATAGTAGTTGGGTTCATCCCAACAAACTCATACATGCATGGAATTCAATTTTAGTTCATGATCCCCCGTTCCCCTCCCACACATCCAACCTTCTGTTAAAGGGAGAGAGAAAAAGCTGGGCGCAGTGGCTTTACATTACACACCTGTAAACCCAGACACTCCTGCAGGCTGAGGCAGGAGGATCACAAGTTCAAGGCCAGCCTCAGCAACTTAGTCAGCCCCTAAGCAATTAAACCAGACCTTGTCTCAAAAAAATAAAAATAAAAAGTTCTGGGGTTGTAGCTTGGTGGTGAAGCACCCAATCCCTAGTACTGAAAAAAGGCGGGGAGGGGAAGAGACTTCACTCAGCTCCAGGCCCTTTGCTACACACCCATTGCCTCTTAGGCAACAGAGATAGGGGAGCCAGAGTGACTTGCTTGAAGTTACAGCAGGAAGTGACGGAAACTGGACTCAAAACCAATCCTAAATGCTGCTAGTCCATGCTCTTCTCACTGTTTTTACACCCAACTAACATTTACCAAGCATTAATTACACACCAGAGCTTGGAAAATCAAAAATGAATTACAGGCCCATTCTTATCACATAGCAATATTCAATAAATGTTTTTCTTAATGATTATTGAAACAAGGAGCTCAAAGCCCCCAGGAGAGCAGACACGTCAAAAACGTTTGGGATTGACTGGTGACATGCTACCATAGATGCGATAGATGCAGGTTCCACTGCCGCAGGCACAGATGAGGGGGAAGTTTAGATTCTTTTGAGGAGATCAGAGAGGACTTCACCCTGGAGATAGTCTGTGTCAAACACAAAAAGAAGAAATGGGTTTTTAGAGGGAACAAGTACAAAGTCAAGGGAGTGTGAAGCTACATTGCCCTTGGGGGAACTAGGCTGATTTTTGCTTGCCTGGGAGTTGTTTCCTTCCTGTATTGAGCCAAAAGCATCTGACTCAATTCAGTTCAGTTCACTGGAACTTCTATAAATGCCTGTTAGGTACCCGGCCCTGTGTGAGATGCTTTACATGCATTATCTCACTAAATCCTTGCAGCTTTCCCTATTGCCCAGATGAGAAAACCGAGGCTCAGAGAGGTGAAGAGTCAGCACAGTAAAGGAGTTGACCCTCTCTGTTTTTTCCACACCAAACTCTCCCCAAAGGATACCAAGGCTTTCCTTTCCCAGGTCTTACTCCTATGGAAAAATGTCCTCCCAGAAAATGTTAAAGTCCATAATTAGTTGCCCTTTGGATCAGGGGACTTTTCTGCCCATTCCATTTTCTCTTTTCCTCCCCAGGACACTGGAAAGGAAAATGCAGATATAGTCATAAAATTTTTAATCCTTGGCCAGACACTAAATTAAATGTCATCCTGGTTCATTTAACAAATATTTATTGAGCATCTGCTATGTGCCAGGGAATGTTCTCAGTATTGTGGATACAAAAGTGAGTAAGACAGACAGACTCCTGTCTTTGTAAGGACAAACTTGCCATAACTTCTCAGTGTTCAAAATAAAGGTTTTGAGAAGTTATGTGGCTTGTCCAAGGTCTAACGGCAACTTTGTTTCAATTAGGATTGAAACCCAAGTCTACCTGACTTCTGGTGCTTTCTCTTTCCATGATGGCCTCTCATCTCCCTCTTACTTTGCCTCTCCTCAAGTCTCTGTCCAGCAGGATGAGCTCAGAGAATGTCACCTGGGCCAGGGTTGCCCCTGTTGAATTCATCCTCCTGGGCATCACAGATCGCTGGGACCTGCGTGTGACCCTCTTCTTGATCTTCTTGCCCATCTACCTGGTGAGCCTGCTGGGAAACATGGGCCTGGTGCTGCTGATCCATGGGAATGCCCGGCTCCACACCCCTATGTACTTCTTCCTGGCCAACCTCTCCCTTCTGGATGCCTGCTATTCCTCAGCCATTGGCCCCAAGATGTTAGTGGACTTGCTGCTGCCCCGTGCCACCATCCCGTATGCAGCCTGTGCCCTCCAGATGTTTATCTTCGCGGGGCTGGCTGATGCAGAGTGCTGCCTGTTGGCCGCCATGGCCTATGACCGCTATGTGGCCATCGGGAACCCACTTCTCTATTCCACGGTTATGTCCCCACGTCTGTGCTTGGCCTTGCTGGGGGCATCAGGCCTGGGAGGGGCAGTGAGTGCCTTTATCCACACGACTTTCACCTTCCGCCTGAGCTTCTGCGGCTCCCGGGAGGTCAACAGCTTCTTCTGTGACATCCCCCCACTACTGGCCATCTCATGCGATGACACCAGTCTCAACGAAGTCCTCCTCTTCGCCGTCTGTGGCTTCATCCAGACGGCCACGGTGTTGGCCATCGCTGTGTCTTACGGCTTCATCGCGGGGGCTGTGGTCCGCATGCCATCTGCCGAGGGCCGCCGGAGGGCAGCCTCTACCTGTGGCTCCCACCTCACAGCTGTGGCCATGCTATATGGGACCCTCATCTTCATGTACCTGCGTCCCAGCTCCAGCTATGCCCTGGACACCGACAAGATGGCTTCTGTGTTCTACACCCTTGTCATTCCAGCCCTCAACCCCCTCATCTACAGCCTTCGCAACAAGGAGGTCAAGGACACCCTGAGGCGGACCCGGAGTCGATTCTGCTGTCCAGGGAGAGGTACCAGGGACGGGTCCCAGGAGGCTGGTTAAGTCTGACTGTGGAAAGACCAGGACACTCTGCCCCATCACCGCGGGTAAAGAAATCGCTGTTCTGATTTGGATGTCTTCTGTCATTGTTTAAGGGATTATCAAGGGGGAAATGGAAGCAACCAGGAGGGAGACAGGAAGCCATGAGTATTCTATGGCTAGCCCTAGAGCCGGCATCAAGACCAGGTTAATGTTTCTATGGAGCTCCCTGAAGGTCCTCAATGTTCAAAATATAGAAGTTCCCAGATGTTACCGGGTAAAGTCAAATAGCATTATTTGCCACCTAAAGAAGCTGACTGGAGCTGGGGCTGCAGCTCAGGGGTAGAGCACTTGCCTAGTATGTGTGAGTCGCTGGGTTTGATTCTCAGCACTGCATATAAATGAACAAAATAAAGGCCCATCAATGTCTAAAAAAATATTTTTTAGAAAGTTACATTTTTTAAAAAGAAGAAAAAGAAGGAGGAGGAGGAGGAGGAGGAGAAGGAGGAGAAGCTTATCCCCACAAAGGCTAAGGGAGAGCTGTGTGGTCTCCAGTTATTCCTAGATTCTCATGGCCAGTGAGTATGCTCTGAACTCCTTGACCACAGGAAAGCAGCCTCAGAAGCCACTCATGCCAGAGTGAAATGATAAGGCAAACATTCTACCCTTGTGTATTTCACATCTCAGGAAAATGGCTGAGCGGTTGCATGACAAACAGAAGCTCATTCCTAAAAATCCCTGCACTTGGGTTTGGATTTGGCCAAGTTCACACTAGTTCATGCTCATGGTGGAGGTTAGGATCTGTATTATGAGTATGGTTAGATTAGGGTTGGAATTATGGTTAGGATAGCCTTTATGTATGGCTAACAGTTGAAAACTGAGGCTTAGGGTCAGATAGAATTAGGCATTAATCAGGTAATTTATGGATGGATTAAAATTATGTAAATTTTATGGTTCAGATTGGTTTATATTAGTAGMAAATATGGGATAAATTTAGGAGGCAGAGTTTGGATAAACTTAAGACTAGTTAGAAAAGTTGCAAATATCTTGGGGTTAGAACATAAGACTAATTAAATTGGGGCTGTGAGTTACAGTTCAGTTTGTATTAGATGTCAGTTAAGTGGTGTGTGATTAATGATTGTGATAAATTTGAGTCATGGTCTAATTATTTCAGTTAGGCTGGGGTAAGAACTGGAAGAAAGGCCCAAGAATATTTTATGTATTAAACTGGCATGTTTTGGTGACTTAAGACTTAAGGTTATGAAAAATGATTAATGTTTCTTAAAGCCTAAGATATTGGTAATTGGTGGATTTAGTTAAATTTCCTTTGGAATTACAAGCACACTCAGATTAGCATATGGTAAGGTTAATGCTCTGTGCTAAGATCAAGACATCCAGAGCTAAGGTTGTGATGAGGGAAGGGAACACCATCACCCTGACCTCTTGGGCAACAGTAACTGCAGTGCACCAAGTCGTGGTTTAAAAGTACATCCTTCAGAACCACTGTTCTTCGGGCCTTCACACACCCATAGTTCACAATTTTTGTAGACTTCCTTTGTCTTTTTGACTCAGTTTCACATGGGCAAATCCAAGGCACTGCGGCTGCCTGGGAAGCACTTCCATGCAGGAGCAAACAGGAGTTATGGGGCGGGAGCTTCCAAAGAGAGGCGGAACACAGCCAACAAAAAATGTCAACTCCTGCCTTATCACCCTTCCTCTTCCCTGATTATGGATGAGGGGGTTCAGGGTGGCAATGTGTGGGACTCAAGCAATACTTCAATATGACCCCAAAAGGCTCCCAATGGAGTCTCTTCCTTGGGCCCCCGTCTGGGCTAGCCTCATCCCTCCACTTTCCTCTTTAAGGAGAAATCAGCCACCTGGCACTTAGATTGCAGAAAGACTACAGGCTTCAACCTGGCTTCCTGGGAAGGTAATGTTCCTTGTTATTGGAACCAGGGTCCTCTCACTTGGTAACTATGGCCTTCTTGGAGATCCCATGCTAATGGAGAGAAGAATGTAGATGTCTCCTTGAATCTTACAGAACTTCATAGTTTTCCTGAAAGAATGACGACTCATCCCTGTTCGCTCAGAACTATTCCAGTCTTATACTCGAAGTCCCATATCCCAAGATGCCCTCAGTCCTGGGCAAGCCAACACAGTTGGTCACCCTATTTCCTGAAGAAATGGTATCTTGAGAGCAGATACACAATATCCCAAACTCAGCACATTTGGACAAAAGTTTGATAAATAAATTTAAACCCCTTCTCCCAATTACAAGCTTCTATCATCTTTTCCCAACTCCCCAACTCCTCCTGCCTCCTGTCACCATAACAATCCATAAGCCACAACAAAGGCTGGAAGTATTATCAGAAGAGTTGACAATGGCAGGACTGGGAACTTAAGATTTGCCCCCAGTTTCTAATGTATGGATTTTCATCCACTCAAAGATCTCCTTTATGGTCTGTGCTTCTTTCTTGGGTTCTCAGGGCATGGAGCACCCACCACAATGAGGAGAGTTTCCAAAGGGGCCGGTGCCCTACATCTTGGCCTACAGGATGTGTTTAGGTGCTTCCAGAGACAATAACTACATGAATCCTAGAAACCAACCAGAGGAAACAAGTTTCGGGCTATTACACTGGGCCTATTTGATAGATAAGAAAACAAGAAAGGAGAGGGGGGGGTTTGAAGTCAGTAACAGGGCCCCCCTGGAGAACAAAGGAAGAGAAACTGTCAGATTGCCATTTCTAAAGTGAGATACCCAGCAGGGCTCATCCAACTCTGATAACAATATCCCTTTTAACCTCCTTCAACACTATTTACTAGGACAGACAGAAGAACAGTGAGTTTGAAGTGGGGAAAGCTGAGGGTCTTATTTGGAGCACTTACTATACCAGAGGAGTTGGGCTCAGCAACATGAGTGGGAATCGAGAGGAAGGGGCATTATGTTGGGGGCAGGGACAAATGTAAAAGAAAGGCACAGGACTAAAGTAAGGTCAGGTGGGGAGAAGACTCTAAGAAGACCAATTTAACTGGCTTGAGAGTATTGGGAAAGATACAGAGGGAATTTTGAAGACTGTGGATCTGGGATGAGAAGGGCACCTGCAGCTTGGATATGAGGTAGGGGAATTTGGACTTTACTCCACAGACAATAGGGAATCATTGAATTTCATATTTAGAATCTTTCTTTTATGGTGTCATGGAAAGCCATTCCCATCTGGAATGCTACATGTAGACACAATTCCCTCTTAGCACAAACACAATGAGAAAAAACAAACACACCCTCACCCTAGATCCAGGCTCCTATGGGAAACATTCCTGAGCAAAGGGACAGTCTCAGAGGTGTGGCCACCCCCACAGATGCAGATGCAGCTGCACAATTAGACACACTCAAGCTCCTGGATACATATGGTTACACAGGGCCATGCTCTCCCCACACCCAAGCACACACTCTACACACAGCCATGTATATTGCCATAGTCACCAGAGGGACAAACCCTCTCAGACTCCCATACTTCCTATAAGAAGCTGCCAGCCCAGCTAAGGTCACAGGAGGGTTGGCCCCAGAAGCTACTGCTATAAACCCTGGACTCCCCATCATTCTTCTGGGGGTCCAGAGATCTGCCTCATCCTTCTTTCTCACAGGGAGCAGCAGCTTTGCCATACACATACACAGGGCTTCTGAATGTCCCCTGAGTTGGAAGCAGCACCCATCACCTCATCTCCCACCAAATTGGGCCCAGAGAGAAAGGATAACAAGTCCCAGAGCTGAGCTTCTTCCTACTCTAGAGATGAAGGCTGGGGCTAAGGGGGTTGCCTCTGAGGAGAAGTTAAGTTGCCCCCAAGGTCCCCAGACCCATAAGTGCAGCCAATCATTCCCTCCTCAGACTCTCCAGTGGCAAGCTACATCCAGACCCTGCTGCTGCTTCCTCCTGTGATGTGGGAGGGCAGAGGATACACTTGGGGACAAGGGTCAGGCTTCAGAATATGCAGCTGTCCTCCTGTGTGTGACAGTGTGTGTGAGTCCTACGCGTGAGTGTGAGAGCATGTGTTGTTTGTGAGGCTGTGATTGGGCATTGCCGTCACTGCACAATGGTGTCACTGGGAGTGAAAGCAGTGCATATGTGGAAGTGCCCCTCTAGGGTGGCACATCTCTCTGTGATCCATGACGGGCCCAGGTGAGTGTAGCCATATGCGTGAAGGTGCAAGACTGCGGACTCTGAAGCTATGCATGAATGTGTGATCAACAAGGAGATTGGGTGTGAATGGGTGTGCATGAACAGGCACCTGGGAGAGTGTTCACAAAGAGTAAGGTGCCAATGAAAATGTACATGATGGTTCACAGCACATATCATCTGTGTATGGTGATACATGCTGCCACGAACAGGTGTATATAAACAATTGTCGCCCTCTAAGAGCTTATGCAATTGCATTTGACTGTGAGTTTACACGTATGCTGATCTGGGTCTTTAAATCTTGTGGTTCTACTTGCCTGCCTATTTGAAAGTGAATGCATATGTTGGTTCCACATTTCTGGTACGATTGATCATGCCTGTGTATTTGCACGTTTGCACACTTGCTCGGGTGTGTTTGCAACTACATATAAATGTTTCTACAGTCGGCTCAGTATATCTGAATGTTTATTGGGACCAATTTAAACAGGTTGGAATTTCAGTTTCCAAAAGCAGGTTTCTCCTCCATCCTACCCAGTCATCCTTATGTTTTTCACCTCTTGGAAATTTGGAAATGGTTGGGAATTTGTGAAAAGAAGAAGAAAAAGCTTAACAGGGAGACAATGCCAGAATATTCTTCTTAACTGGTAGAGGAAGAAAAGGAGGACCATAAGATAAGGAGGTCTCTATCTGATTGTCTTATTTTTTATAGAGAAAGAGTTAAAATAAGTTAAGAGATCATTCTCCTGCAGAGGTAGTCTCAGCCTAGTCTTCAGCAAACCTGTGTCCCAAATCCTCTCATTTTAAAGCCCCTCTTAAAGGACTTCCCAAAGTGTCTGCAATGAGATTCAGACATG